CTACTTGACTTGGTAGTGTTAGGGAAACTATTGTTTTGATGTAAAAATTAGTAAAGTTGCTTTTATGTTTCATTAACATTATTTGTGGGGATAGTTAATTAAAACATAAATGATTTATTTTTAAATTGTTTCATCACTAAAAGCACTGCAAACATATTCTTGCATGTTCAATGCAAATAGAACGAATCTTACTTATAATAATTAACTGTTCTAAATATTTCCAAGTTTTATTAGTCTCAAAAAGAAACAAAAATGTTAAATAAAACTGGCAATATATTTTATGGGTTTTGGAAACTGGTCTTATTTTAAATCCTTTATATTAACTTAGCTTCTTTTTGAGTCTAGCTTGGTGGTAAAATTTTAGGACTACTAATCGACAGACTTCCCTTCAAGCTAAAGAGCTTAAATTTGGTATAATGACTATTTGCTATGAAAACAAATTCTTTCAAATTTTCATCCCGAATCCCTCTTTGAACGCTAAAAAAATATTTTTACATTTTTTAAAGAGAACATGAAGGAAAATTCCAAATATCTGTGGTAAATGATTCTATTTTTAAAAAAAAGAGATTGGAAGTTTGTCTGCTGCGTAATATTTTCTTTTGATTTTCTGAAATAGGTCGTGAAATAAATCAAGGTGTAAAAGGCGGGCATATTAATTTAGGAAGGGCGTGGAAAAAAATGACCAGTTGCGAGACTTGCACGGAGGAGCTCAAATTTGAATTCTTATAAAGTGTGTGTTACTTGTATGCATTTTGTGTGATATTTTCAGCCCCACCCACGATTGGACAAAACAAAATTATATAAAACACTTATAAAAAATTGGGTTTTTAGGAGTTGTTTTGCTATAAATCCTATGGTAACGGCATAATTATGTAAAGAGAAATTAGTTGATTACAAAAGGCATTATATATCTTTTTAATGTTTGACTTTATCTGAGAGAAATCGTATGTAAATGAAGTATTCATGTCTAAATATTTAGTAGATTGATTTTTTTGGTCCAATTTATTACTTTTCCGATGAATTTAAAATAATTCCTTGGTTATCATTTAAAATTTTTTTTTTTACAAACCAACATATACATTTTTTTTTTAAAATTGACGATTAATATATACTATTTTAAAAATTAATACGAGAAAATGTAATCGGAAAGATAATTGAAATTCAAGTCTAAAAAAATATAATTCTGTTTTTATCTTTTTGATATAGTTTATTCAAGAAAAAGTATTTAAAAAAATTTAAAAAAAGAAATCCGTCAAAAAGCTGCAAAAGTTTGTTTATTATTCTGATATTAAAAAGGCAAAAGCAGTTTGAATTTAAGAAATTTAGGTTTACTATTTTTTAAACTTAGGTATTCAGGAAACTTAGTTCCTAAAGCAGCATGTTTAAAGAAAACAAACTCTTTCAATCTAATAATAATTAAAGAGGTGTGCATTATATATATGTACACGTTTAATCTTAATCAAATAAATTATATCAATATTTTAAAGTTTTCCATTTCATCTAGCTAGACGTAAATGCAATGGAGTACATTTAAAATTTTGCTCATAACAATATTTTTAAAGCCTAATATCATCATACAATTTAAATCTAAGACCAATCCCAGCTTTAAAAGTAATGCATGTATGAGTTAAAAAAAAATTGAAAATTGATTGCACACATTTGATACTTGGAATGAACTACTATTACGATGTTAGATATTTATAGCTATGTAAATTTATTTCCAGACATTAAAGTTTTATTAAAGACTTTAATCTAGTTATGTTTAACAAAAAATAAAACAAATATTCTGATATTTTCGGACAACTGGAAGTAAGAGTGGAGCAGATAGTGCTATATTTATAACTGAATACTGGAACTCTTAACAAAATTAGCCTTAAATATACCCATCATCATATATTATTAGCGTAGCGATATTTGATAACTAATGTACAACGGAGCAATTATTTGGCGCATGATCGATTGAATATTTGCACTAACGTTAAACATATTTTTTCTTTATATTTTTTTAGGCGTTCCAAATTCTCTTTTGAGATTACTTACGGAATGGAGTAAAATTATTACAAAAGCTAAAAATCAATCATTTTTTTATGTACCATAACTTGAATCTGGTTTGTTTGTATCACATTAAAAGTAAATACATATATATATATTTCGTAAAGAACTTTACTTACTCAGGACGAATTATCTTAAATGGTTACTCTGTGTCTGCATCCATCCAAAACCTGGAAAGAAGGAAAATGTCACGGAAAGTTAGCATTTAGATAAACCATTAGATGCATTTATCGGTACAAAAGTGCAGTAATTTCATGCATAGAGTTATCGCACAACAAAACCACTTTTTTTCAACGCCACCCATGAAAAAGAACATTTATTTTCTTGTTAAAATAAGCACAGGTGATTAAGATTAACATCTCAAACCAGAAAATTACATTTGATCTAGTCAAAAATCGCATTTAAATTACTAACGTTATTATTTAAAATTTGTTAATATTTTCTGTCATTTTAAAATTTATTAGATTTGTATAATGAATTACATATACTAATACTATTCTTAAGCTTTATTTGAACGTTCCAACCAGTTGCTTTGCTCTTTATAAAGAGTGATTATGAAATAATTTAAAATATAATCTACGTGTCTATTAAAATAATAACAATCGCTACTGTATATATTCACTCAAAATATCATAATTCATTTTTTTAAAATATATCTTTACTTCCTGGAGAAAGAAACCAAGCTAGCTATGATTCGTTCATGCATGGGACACATAATATTGTCCCAATATTGTCACAAAGTGTCAGCATTTCAAAGCCCTTAATATTTTTTATGATGCAAGCCAATCCTTAGGGGTAAATATTATTTCAATAAAACAACTAATAAATGGTGGCTTCATGCATAATAAACATTTTTATATTTAAAGAGAGCCAGCCAACGTACAAAAAATATATTTAAAAATAATATACATATGTAAGAAGATAAATATTTAGTTTTCTTATTACGCATTAGTTTCGGTAAAAATCATTCAGGTAAGGTAAATTAGCAAGAAGATATTCAGCTTTATTTTTAATACGTTAATGATAACAAAAATAAATAAATAAGGTCCTTTTAATAAAATATAAATATAAACGTTTCAAATAGAAGATTTAAAAAAATTATAAACTTAATTAAATTTATTATATTTATTGAACTCTTGCTTTTTTAAACAGAAATTAGTTTTATTGAACATTTTTAAGCCTTCTTTTTTTTAAAGCAATTTTAAATCACATGGACAAATGGTTAATGGATTTTAAAGCAATGTCAAATGTTTAAGTAAAAATTTTAAATAATTTTCCAATACCTTTTCTTCTGTGTGTGTGAAGTATGAGAACAGGTTTATGTTGATTTTAGAATACTAATTCTCGGCTACAGAAATATAGTTCTACACATTTGCAAACTATTTTATTTTAGAGTAGTATTGTTTTGAATAGCGTGATGAGAATATACATTTCATCAAATCAAACATTCCATTGTTCGTCCAAAACACAATATATAAATATATAAAATAAAAATAAAAACAAAACGCGAGTATGTCTTTAGTATAACCTCTACCGTCTGTTTTCATCCATATGTTTATATCTGTGTATGCATTTACATTTTTACTGGGCAACTTCACTGCACAACCTTCAGGAAACCCGTGGTTAAGTAATCTATTGCGCCGTATAATTTTAAATCTAATAATATTTAGATATTATGTAACTTTATAAAAATAATGCTGAGGCTGAAATGGGAGAATTTATCGATTATTTTTTGACTTGTTCCGCTTTTTAATGGCTTTTTATTTTATTTTAAACATTTCCTTGGAATAAATGAGTAGTACAGGGATCCTACCTGCCGGCATTGCAGCCTGGTCCTGGTGACAATAGCGTACCTGTTGACCGAATGTCCCTCACTAGATTTCCCGGGGGAAGCCAGGGCGGTTTGAGAGCCCTATTTGAGGAAAATGTTGTATGGCTCAGCTCAGCAGTTGGAGCTGGTAGCCAATTTACTAGCCGGGCTCTTAAGAGAGTAATCTCAGACATACACCAGAATATGTGTATTAGTTAGTAGTACAGCTGTTAAATTAGTTTTGACTGACAAAATTGTAAAGAACAGAAGTGACATATGAATTTTTAGACATTGCAAGCATAAACACACACATATCCACACCCGCTACCTTGGAAACAGGGAATCAACCATCTCGTAAAAAAATGTCCGTATCTAAGCAACCCATCAAAGACGTCATTACCTATGATCTTGGACAACAACCTTTTGACCAAAAGGCCCAGACTCCCCTTAACATTTCAAGATACACCCAAGAACCTAAAATCTATTCTGACCAAGCAATGATTCACCAACATTCTTGCAACAGAACAATACAAACTCAGTATTTGATTATGGAAAATTTTTGCAATTCAATCCAATAAATACATATATAAGGTCCTTTTAATAAAATATAAATATAAATATTTTTATTGTTAAGCATAAAGCTGTAAACTTATTCGTATTTTCTTCCGATTAAAAACTTAATGACAGAACTTTAAAAAAAAAAAGTAGAATTATCCTGCTTTCGAGATCATACATTTCAATCATAAACTAAACTTTGCAACACATTTCTGCAAAACTCTTTACTGAAAACCAAAAATTAATAATTTCAAGAAACATAATTGTCTATGTAACAATGCCACTAACGCTACCAGAGAGCGCTAATTTCACTAAATAAGTTAACTATAACTGCGCTACAGGAGATTCTTAAAAATACCGGAAGTGCTTTCAATGCTATTATTTTTTTCTTTATTTTTGGAAATGGTCTCTGTTTCGCATTGTCTTCTATTGTGAGAAATAAATATCTTATTTAAAGTTATTAGCTCGTTTTAAACAGTGGCTAACAAAGGACGATACCATAGAGAAATAGAATAGCAAAAATACGACACTCAAAACAGTACTAATTACAATTAATAAGATTTATTTAAGTATTAATATATCTCGAAAACTAAAGAAATATAAATGCAATCGTCAAATTACAGAGTATTTGAAGTCTTGTATCGATAGACAGTTAGTACAATGTGCCAATTAATAATGTACAATGATGAATGAGAATAAACATATATGAGCACACAAAGAATAATACATTTGTCTCGTGAAGTTAAAAATATTTATCTGAATCGCTCTTGATGAATCTCTGAATCCCCTTTTATATCTATGCGTCGGTAGAACCAACGCTTCCAGAAATATCTTCTACATTGTTTATCTTTCTAGCCAATTATTGAAGGTTCCCCGAAATTCTATTAAAATATACAAGTTATTTTTAGTTGATAGTTGTGGAAAACAACGGCTAAGATGAATGGAGAATAGGCAACAATTGGATTTAGCCTGGAGCAGTAAAAAGAAAGAGAACTCATATCAAAACCTGAATGTCATGTTTAACAATTTTCAACTTTTTTCTTAACCTATAACATTTGCCTCTGCACTAGTTTTTAATTAATACAATTTTTAAACCATTACTTTAACATGTAACCTATGGGTATTTGAATTATGTTTTAATAAGCTCGTGGAATACCAGATTTTGAACGAGAGTATAAGAAACTATGAAGATTGCTCAGCCATGTTTTTTTTTCAGAGAGAGAGGGAGGGGTAGCTATCTATATTATATTTTTATGAAGGACTTTGCCTTCCTCTATTATCCAATACAACAATTATTATTTGAACTGCCCAATGACGTGTTATGGTTACTCTATTATTCTGTTGTATTGTTGGATCTATGATTGAACGTTGTACCATTTGTTGTAACTCTGTGAGCAGTCTAATAAAAGGGAAGTATGCAAAAAAAGAACGCTGTATTTTATCTCACAAATCGGTGTCAGTCATGTGTATGATTTAGCGAAGAGTAACAGAAAAATGAGTGAACATGTGTATAATTATAAGGACTATTACATTGGTGTCACAAGTGGTTGACAATTCCATGTATAACAAACAGTTCATTACAGTTTTGATTTAATAAATAGAAAATAAGTAAATAAAAAGTTGATTAAACTTGTTTCGAATGAAGCCACTTTTATGTAAAGTATGATCGTGAGATGTGTTCTATGAGGGTCTTTCTTCAAATCTAAATAAATTATGGACGCGCATATGTCTTTTTTTACGCATACTTTTTTATAGACATATAACAACAACGGGAAAAAAAGACACCAGGTCTTAGATTTCCCAATAAGATTTCTGTTTCTAGTGCCTTAGATAGCTCCATCTTTACTGCAACATGTCATATAAATGTGCTCGTTGACCTTCCCCATTTCTTCAGACCAATACGCAATTTTGCGACACGAAAAATATTGACATTTGTCAAAATCTATGATTAAATTTTAAGATCGTGACATACGGGGCTCCTTGTTAGAAATGGAACCAAAACGTTTCAAAAATGTATTCCATGCCCTCGGTTTAGGCCACACTTACATAGTGAAATAACCCAATTTTTAAACCAGTCAAGATAAGAAATAAAGCATTTATAAAATCAATGTACATCAATTAAACAGAACTGCAACAATAAAATAAATAAAACAGTGACAATAAACTAACGGAAAAATCTGCAATAAAATTATTAAAATTGCTAAGGTAAAATAATAGAATAGTGACAACATAATAAATAGAAGAACTGCGACATTAAAATTATCTAAAAACATGATATGATATTTCATATTCGTGTAATATGTAGGCAAAACGTAAAAAAAATAAGTTTTTTTATATAAAAGTAATATTTAGTAGAAAGGTCCTGGTTGCCAAAACAAGCAAGGTCTTGTACTGTAGCGCATTGTCTTTCAGATGCAAATGCCACTGTGTTAAATTGTGAGGTCACATAGCTATTAACTTGGCCGTCACTGATTATGAACAACATTCAGTAATAACTTCAAAAAATTCCAATAGCTCCTATTCGGGAGGAGGACAAAGGAGGCCAAGTAATTGTCTAGGGGTATATATAAACTTAATAAAAGATGTGTTTTGCACACTTGAGTCATTGACCCCTGGGTGCAATTTAGTAATGGCGTGAAAATGGTGCAATAAACTGCCCAGAGTAAATACACAGGATGTTAATAAGAAAATCACTGCATTTCAAGTGCATCAAAATGATAATAAAATATGATGAAAACAATCTAGGATGTATAACATATGATTTTGTCTGTCCCATTATCGGTGTGCATACTGAAATAGGACTATGCGTTTAAAATAACCTCGTATTAAAATAGGTCTATGCGTTTAACATTGTTAGCCCCATGTACATGGCTTCCCCCTGCTCGTCCACAACTCCAAGGGCGGAAACACACACTTGAACTTTGTCCGCAGATTTAAGGTAGAAGATACCGCCTTCAATTAAAAATTAAATATCAACACAGATTGAGTTTCAATTTCTTTAAAATATTATAATCCATTATATCATTTAATTTTATTTTCCAAAGTATACAAAAAAAACATTTTTTTTTTAATTTAATTTTTTTTTTGAAAAATTTCTGTGGTACGAAGATTATAGAAAATGTATTAATCAAAATAGATTTTAGCTTTGATTTTTTGAATAACAAATTTTGATGTGAGGAGGTAGAATTGTTAAATAATACTTCAATATAAAAATAATTGATTTATTGACCATGTTACCAGCAAAAGATGTCTCTTGAGATTGTGGGCAACTCTGACAGATTGTGTGGACAGATCTCAACAAAACGCCAGTCTGCATCGGATTGTTGAAGCTGATCCGGTGGAGGTAGTGATACAGGGTCTGAAATAAACAAAAAAAAAACAGTTTACATTCCATATTTCAGAAGGGATATATTTAAATGAATATTTAAAAAAAAGGTTATTCCAGTCCACAAGGTGAGGCATTTTGTTACTGGCCCTGCAATGCGTTTTGTTTCTTTTAAATATCACTGATTTAAAAATGAGCATTAAAAATTATGGAATAGCATTTCTAATTCATTTGGCAATACAGGGATAGAAATAAGTTCACTTCCAGATGTCAGTAAAAATTGTAAAATAATAATTTTACAAAAATATTATGTCCACTCAATGATTTTCGGATAAAATTAAAGTTTGGAGGACATATATAATGGTTAAACTAAGAGTGAAACTTCATAATTCAACTTTTTTTTTCTTCAGATTAGTACTCCGGTTTGCTTACTTTATCAGTAACTTGCTGACGCTTGAATTGAACGCTTGAATACACATAGTAGAGGCCTTAAAAATATTTAAAAAATACAGATTTTTCGACACATAAAGATATTAAAACAATTTTCATATATTACACAATTTTAAATGTTTACATTTTATTGTAGATTGATAATATGGTGTTCTATTCACACAACTTATCTTCATTAAAATTAAAGTTCTGACATTAAATTCTTAATATAAAAAAATTGCCGTTATTTTCCAGCTTCATTGCATGCCAAAACTTTAGTTGTCCTAGAACATCACGATAGCAATAGCGTGACTCTTACAAGCAGTCATACAGGCTTTACCAAATATATCACTATATACCATCAGGACGATATATTATGACTATTAACAAGATTTGTACAGCATCTTTTGAGGAGATTGTGTTTCTTAATGTAACTTTTCAGCTTCAAAGCATGGCAAAACATTTCCTTGTTCGATACATCTTACAATAACCAATGGGTATCTGTTACGTGAAAGCGTACAGGCTGAAGTAAATATAGTATTATACACCACACATACCTTGACCATTAACGAGAATTGTACAAGAAACTTAAGGAGACTGTTCTTCTTATCCTCGTTGAAATCCTCTGTTGTATTTGTTGTATATTATTTGTTTCTAATACCAAAAAGAATCGACCCACATGGCTATTAAAAAGATACAATACAAACCTGTATACTTGACAATGAATCCATCTTTGGTAACATCGACTCCACGAACATGTTCATAAGATGGATCATGTGATGATGTGTTCAAAGTCAGCGGGAAATGTTCACCGTATTCTGTTCGATTAAAAAAAAAAAGTGTACCTCTAAAATGACTAGGTGAGACATAAAATATTATAAGTTGCGTACTGAGAAAAATTATTGTACTTAAAAAAAAAAAAACAACAACCTTAAGTTATCCGCCAAAAACCTCAAGCTAAATGCATTAAACATATATAACTCTCGCTTAAATTGTTTTTAATTCGATGGTCAAAACTGCAGATGATACAATATTGTTGAGACTTGATCGATTTATTATTAACTACTTTAACATAAAATATGAATAGTTTTTTTTTTCAATGTGAAGCCGACTGTCTGCGTTAACACTAACTTTTGTCTGTTGAATGTTGTTCACGTAAAAGATGCTTATGAGCAGATACGGATGCCGCAGGTAGCAGATTAATCGGCAACTTCACATCTGAAATGTAGAATGTGGTACAATTTGGAGTGTTACTTTAATAGAACAAAACATAGAGGTTACTTATTAAAACGTCTGTATAACACTTTTTTTTAAAGTATACTTTTTCTAACTTTTGGGCTATGGCAAATTAATTTCTAGAATATTAATGAAAGATTATTTTTAAAAAAATAATGTGGAACATCGGCATTCAATAATAATTGTTGAACACCTGCATTTTTGTTCTATTTTACGTTGTGTGTTTTTTAGAAAGTTAATGAAGGCTTTTCTGCCATGTAGTTGGTGACCTATATTGATTATAATTATAACGTATTATCCAGAGTCTAAACTGTCCTTAGCGTACGTTCATGTTAGTGAGTAATCGTCGAACGAATATGGTAGTCAATGAATGTGTAAATTTCTCCTTACAGCAAGCTGGGCTGTACATGTGTTTGATTAAATGTAAAGCCTGTTAGATTTGTCGATAGATTAAAGTTTCATTAATAATAGGAAAGGACGTGTAAAGAATCTGATGAACGAATCTAAAAAAAAAAAAAAAAAAATTAATCGTGGCACATGACTTACTTAAAACAAGTTTGTTACAATGGTTGCTAAAACGATGAAAAGTACTTTAAAAAAAAATTAATTTATCTTTTCTCCTTTATGAAAATAGTAATATTTTTCTCATTAAACTAGAGAATATAGACAAGACAAAAATAATAATATACAATATAATAAATAGAGCTATGAAATCGTTAAAAAGAAATCTGTATAACTTACCCTGATTAGTTATTAATGACGCACTCAACTAGAATATAATGAAGACATTGACATTAAGGTATGATTCAAAATTTAAAAAGTATGAAAAGTTTAATAAATGTTTAGATTGATGTTAAAACTCCTTTCAATTAAAAAGGAAGAGTTGGTAAGATGTATTTACTAGGTAACTTATTTCAAATCAAGGAGTCCCCTAATTATAATTTGTTCTTAAAAACTGTAATTCTCAAACTGGCTGAAAATACTGCATCACAATACAATAACTTACGAAAGCCACTAAAGCCTTAAATTGTCTATCATTCTCAACACAACATTCGCTGTTATGGTCGTCTATTTCATGTCTTGTCAAGTTGTTCAACATCTCCAACAGTGGGTTGTGTTTAGGATGGTGGTCTGGGTAATCTCCAACCAAGGCGCACTTGAAACAGAACCTGGAATACTGCTTCACCTCAGATGCCGGTTGAAAATCCTGCGTCTGGATTGAGGGATATATGCAGATTTTCAGATATGTCTGCTACCAAATTCAACAGGCTAAACTTTTGTTGTTTCTTGCAATAAATTATACAGTCCTTATTTAATTAAATCTCAGACACAGTAACTTCACTACTTTTTAAATCATTTATAATTCATTATACACATGGAATGCTTTGCAAAATTAATTTCGCTAGTGCATCGCTAAAGTGAATAAATAATCCTTAAGTCTTAGTATTGGTGACCTAATCTTCGGTTGACGAATGTTATCGGGACAGAGGAGAGATCACGCATTTATTATCCATTAATTGTCAGATGTATGCTAATCTTAAATAACACTAGAGACAGAGAGAGATAGAGAAACAGATAGAGGAAAAGAAAGAAAGGACAAGATAGAGACAGGGAGAGAGAGAGAGAGAAAGAGGGAAAGAGAAGGATGGATATCAATTGGTAACGAATGTGAATGGTTTTCATTTTCAATTACTTTCATTGTAAAAATTCAAGTAAGTTAGAATTCTAATATCATTTTCAAAATAAAGGTTACTTACATTTTTAGACAGCATGATTCGACCAACCGATATATAAATAAATCTACTAATAATGGTTCAAATATTTAAATCTACATGTTTGTGCTTTGACGCAGAGGAAAATATAAAACATAACTCACCATCGCATTTCCATTCATTTTCATACAAAGTATCACAATGGCTGTCAAGGCAAAAACCAAAGCAATGAAAGACAAACACGTCCCCGCAATCCTGAAATATTTTAAAACATGTTAAGTTATAATAAAATAGGTTAGTATTTTTTTACGTATGCTACTTTGAACGTTACAGAGAATAGCAGCCCTCAATCTTTTTAACGCTACACAATTACTGGAGTCACCAAGGTATAAACAAATAGAAACAGAGCAATTTCTATGAATGGGTTGGGTGGGAGCACCAATTTTTGTAATTTTTTTTTACAACGCATTACATCATTGAAGAATTAATTTTAGTGAAACTTGATGTAAAATTGCTCGCTTTTCTTTACATAGCGGAATACATTAGGCGATTAAACCCATGTGTAGATTCACATCGATTTAAAATTATGATCTTGCAGACGGCAATTTTTATTAATTTATTAAAGAACGTCAATTTATGTCATTAACATCGTAGATCTGGAACTACGACTAAGTAAGAGAGACTTGGATACAGCGCTGTATTTAGAAAATACGCAGATAGGCCCTTTAAAGGACACAGAAACATTGCGTGTCCTCTCTACATAAATAGGAGCCAGAATGATCAATAAATTGATCATTGGCCTTTAAGATATAGAAGAAGAAAATATCTTCCATCTTTTAAACAAACTCTGCAAAGTTTAGCATATTATAATAGAGTACAAAGGTCAACACCCAGTTTTTATGCATGGGTAATGGCTACCAAGAATAATGTAATTTTATTGTTGATATCACTTCATTTTTTGTATATGGAAGTAGAAAAATGTGTTTTTTTATTTGTTGAAAAAAATGTAACTATTTTTTTTCCTTAAAAAAAAATATTTGTAACAGTTTGAAGTTTTGATTTATTTGTTAGTTTAAAATTGGGTTCCTGTGAGTGAGCGCAATAGCCACAACAATATGTCCCTGGCGAACACTTGCATAGAAGGCTCTGCTCGGGAATATCTTAAAGAACTGATTTATGAACATGTCTCCTTAAACAACCTGTGGTTTTCAACACAGACTTTCCTGAAAATCCCCAGTGTGGATGAACAAAGAAAAAAGTCGTACGGACTGCACTCTATTGAAGCGATCGAAGCCAAAATTATGGAAAAGTTTGCCTCAATCTTTGAGGGGAATTGAAAATAATATAAAAAATCATTTAAGAAAAAAGACTTTTTTTGTTTAAATAGATTTAAGAAAATCGGAGCGCCGTGGCGCATGCTAAAGTAGCATAGATGCCAGCGTTATATCCAATCAATCAACAGATCAATCAACCAAAATATCCCGTATTTGCCATGATGGAGTTTTGGGTGTAGTATGCGAGTTTTAAATTTTTTTTTTTTTTTTTACATTTGGAGGCTTTATTTAAGATTGTCTATTTAAACTTAAGCTTTAACCATAATTATTGCACATTTAAACACATATTGAATATTTTTGTACAGATGAAACACGATAATCCTTTTAATAATAAATGTTGGATTTTTTTAATATGTTGAGCTTTAATGTAAAAGAATCCTATTCCAGAGATTGAGTTCCATTACTAGAAGTTGCCCAAGCTCAAATATTAGTTCTTTTAAAAGACAGCGTCACCTCGACCTACGAACTACTTTATAATATAAGAATTTCTTCTTCTTCTATATCTTAAGGGCCCACGATCAATTTATTGATCATTTTGGCTCGCATGCATGTAGTTGGGATTTGCAATATTTCTGTTCCTGGTGTTGATGAGGAAATTTCACTGATTTCCAGTGCCACTTTGTGAGGGAATCATGCACTAGGGGTTTGAAGGCTTGAGGCAATAGACACAAATGTGTCTTGTGTTGTCGCCTCAACCGTTCCTTTTGACAGATTGTTCCAGTCCCTGATTGTCTTGGGTAGGAATGAGCAGCTCCTATACTGGCTTCCTGCTGGTATGAGCCTGAATTGCCTGTCATAGCCTCGTCGCTGTCTATGGGGGAGAGGGACGAGTTTCTGTTTAATACGGGAAAAGTGGACCAGCCCATAATTTAAAGAGATGCGAATTTTTTTCATATCCCATTTTACACCTATACACACTAAAGTAAGTTCGAGACGTACGATTAACTGCGCTTGCGTGCCTGCCGTACCTGTCGTGTTATTTGTTACTACGTCGCAGATATCTGGAATACCATGTAACTAGCGGTGCTGAACGTAAGTATTTGTTTTGTGTGTGTATAACTATTTCGGTATTTGCGTGATCAAACAATAATGTAAGTGAAGAATTATTTTAGTTTTGTTTAAAAAAAATGTACTGTGTGTATAAATTTTTTATCATAATGTTAATTGATTGAGTGGCCGAATGAGAGGCCCATATATGCGCTAGGGACGCGTGAGTATGGAGAAGAGTGTCAAGCCAGAATTCCTAAAATGGGCGGACCGAGAGAATAAGGTCTCTTCGCCTCGGGTCGTCAAACGCACATAGGTCTATGAAATATTGTGATCGGTAGATGAATGCTACACAATCAAATTTTTGTAAAAAAAACAACATAGGTGAGGCTTTAATTATAGTTAAACAGAATACAAAAGCTAACATTTTGGCAAATGCCTTCATCACTACAACAAAAACTTTCGCTTAATTATAAATTAAATTAATATAAAAAATATAGTTCCTACCTATAAATAAAAATCAAAAGTAAAAAAATAAAAAATAAGATAAGGACACAAGTCCCTAACGAAAACAAAGCTCAGAAAAAGGAAAGAATGTGGCTGGGAGACCAATTTAAAAGCCAAACAGGAAAAGACATTTTAGCTAAGTAAAAATTGTAAAATTGGTTGTTACCGTATCGAATTAACGTTCCAAATCTTTTTAGTGTGTGTCTCATCAATCCACATAACCGCTTTATCACTGTCCAACACTATTAAATTAGTTAACTGTAATCGATAATAGTGCGAACCGAATACATACTAAATTGGCCCAAGCTCTAAAAACCCCCCCCCCCCCCCCCAATTCTATTGACGTCAACACTGAAAAGGAAGGTGATTTTCAAGCTTTATCCTTATCCATCATATAAAACCAAAGATTAGATAAATTAAATTGTAATGGCTAACAAATGCCCAGTTTTTACTTAAAAATGATCAGAATCTCTCTTTATCCATTCTCTTGGATTTTCTTAATTAGGTGAGAGCAGTTCTTTTGTTTCGTTGTTTTTTTTTCTTTGTTATTACTCTAGCATTTTTTTTTTAATTTTTAATTTTTTAACCTTAGATTGGATCAATTTAGCGTAATTTAGCGTAAGATGTTATGGGAAATTGGGCTTCAAGATACGAATTCATCGAGTTTCGAACCACTGTTCGAAACGAATCAAGTACCAAAGTCGAGGTATCATTCTATTTTTTTTTTCCTATACAACATATTTGTACCTTAAATATTAAGGCTGCCTAAGTTTTATTTTGTAAAAACTTAAATTTATTCCTGTTTGAAAGGCCTTACATTTGTGGTAAAAAACAATTCGTTTTCATTTTATTAGAAACGCCAGACTATATCAACACAAATACAAATAATAAAAAAAAGGAGCTAAAGGAATATAATTTATGTGTATACGTTAGGGTTGATAAGAAAAGTCTAACATGCAACACTCTGAAACTTACCTCCAAGCTTTTTGTCTTATTGTGTGTTTCCTGTCATTGTGATGTGACGTTTTCACAGACTTTTTCATACGAGGTGTTTTATATTCTGGGTCCACTCTTTCCGGCTCAGCTATAAATGCATTTTGTATGATTCATATTATGGCCAGTCTTCATGTCAACCACGTGGGTTATGATACAATAACATTTTATGGCAAATCAAATGGGTATGTATAAATATATGAGATTATTAAACTTTTTAAAAAATTCTTTGGTGTGGGGATTGTTTGTTATTTTGAAAACTATATTTTTAACTTTAATTAGTATTTGTTATGTTACAAAACCTGTCATGAGTTTTACTTACAATTTGTCGCATGTTTCTTTTGTTAGTTTTTGTTGTTGACCATGCATGCAACAGAGAATCAACATATACCAATAAATTTAAATGACATGATTAAATTAATAGGTACATGTTTATTTTTAACCCCCAAAAAAAGACTGGGACATAAAAATCCAAACCTATTTAAATTTACTGAGTCGAAAATTGGGTATATAGAATAACAAATCATAACATTAACATTGATTAATTAGATTAAAGTTTTATTTATTTCTATTTTTAAAGAAGTATTAAACCAAACGCAAAATTAAAAAGTGAATACCGTTATAAACCTAATTTGCCAAATTATTTTATTTAAAAAAAAGAGAAAAACGAAATCCATTTTCTCTAATCTTACGTCTCATCTGGATCGACTGAGTGCATAAGTAGTCTACATGAATCTATATTTAAGAAATACTCATATCCACATAAACTATAATTTACCCTTCTCCTCAATCCATCTGCTGTATGCAACGTTGGTTCAATGTTATAGGAACTTTTAGATTCAGTCTCATAAACCCTACATTTTAATTCCGGGGAACTGTGAACACAAATTTTGTTAAAAAGGAACATTTTCGAAGACGTGAAAGCTGGCAGAAAAGATTTTGATAGAAAAAAAAATTAAAAAAAGGAAATAAAAAGATGTCCACATGCAAACAATTGTAATGAGATACAAAAAAAATTGAAAAATTGAAAAATTATAATATGAAGCTAAAGACTGAATAGAATCTTGAAGCTAAAAATGAGATATTTACGCACGTGAAAACATTTAAGGTGATGGCATGTTCTTTATTACTGGGATTTCTGTTGCTATGAAAGCCTTCAGATCCTAGAATAAAATACACAGTGTCAGTAATTCAGGTGGCAATGTTTTATATTAAGACCAGTAGAGATTATTTTCAATGCTATTGGGGTAATAAAGCTACAAATCGTTTTTAGAATCTATAAAATAAACTGTACATGAACATAATTTTTTGGTTTGTTTTTTAACTTAAATTGCTAAAATTATAGACACATTTTACAAACCGTCAGCGTTGTTTACTTCATTTTTGACATGTATTTTCGGTTCGCCAACCATTTCTAGATCTCCATTAAACTTGTTCACATTAAAATGTGTATCTTCTAGCTGGCCTTCTAACACCTAATGCAGAAATTTAAAAAATAACGTCTGTGACAATTTTAAAATTCATGTGCCAGATTTTCTTGTTATATATTTTCATATTTGTCTTAAATTAATTTTAACCTGCCTAATTTAAAAAAAAAAAAAAACTTTCTGTCTAAACAAACATATTTTGTTATTGAAAATTGATCGATGATTTTTAAATACTTTATCTTAGCCCAGTGACCATCAAACGCATTAGTTAAAAGAGCCAAAAAAATCTGATGCACGATGTTTTAAATAAAAAAAAAAGTGAAAGCAATAGTTTTTTCTCAAAAACCTGCCATGTTTTTCGGAGCTAGCACCGATTTGTGACCGGATGGCGCACTGCACGTAGGTCACTAAAGAGCTGCATGGGGCTCGCGAGACGCTAAGACTGACTTAGTGACTTAGCTTAAACTGTGAGTTTAAATATAAACGTAAAAAGAAAGTGATAGATACTACCAATTTAGTAAAATACTAATTTAATAAAAGGCAAAATATTCATTCAATGTTTTTGATCTAAATATGCTTTAAAAAACACATGATATAGGTATATCTGATAAAGTTATAATCATCTTTATATATACAACCGTTTCATTTACATTTAGACGTAATTTAAAACACGATACAACTACAATCGATCCGTTTTTCCCAGTCTGCTAATACACAATTGCAGAAAAACAATTAATTTTATAACATATTTATTTGTTTAGTATTTTGGCCTTCGTCATAAATGACATCGTTTGGTCATTAATTATTTTTTTTATTATACATTAATTAACTTCAACACAAAAAAAATAGCTGCCTTGTAAATGCAGTCTGCGCCGTCATGGTCATGTGGTAAACAGTCAGCTCCGGGTCGGTATAAGTTCAGGGAAAGTGTGAAGTCTTTGCTGTTATAAATTATATTGCGGCTGTATCTGTAATTTCAAAAGTTAAGCTGATAAGCTAATTCAATTACTATTGTTTAAACAAGTAGGTGTGTGGTTATGGAAAAAAGCATATTATCGAGAGAATGTAAATTGAAAAAAAACAATAGCGGTATTCAAGTTATATTTCTCAATAGATTATAGGGCAAAAATACAGCCCTAAATCTTAAATTCATAAAATATGTGTACAAAACAAGTTTAAATAGAGTATACTAATTAATGGACTGCATTCAAGTTGTGTAAGTGAAATACGAGAACAAGGTATGCTAAACTTGACTTCATAAACACGATAAAAGCTTTTGGACGTTTCGGCGTAGAGCCCCCATCAGCTGTCTTGTTTGCTTGTGAAGGTTTGCTGATGAAGGTTTGCTGATGAAGCTTTGCTGGTGAAGGTTTGCTGGTGACGGTTTGCTGATGAAGGATAGCTGGTGAAGGTTTGCTGATGAAGGTTTGCTGATGAAGGTTGGCTAATAAAGGTTTGCTGGTAAAGGTTTGCTGACGAAGGCTCTAAGCCGAAACATCCAAAAAGTTTTGTCCTGTTTATGAATTCAAATTTAACATAAATTGTTATCATAATAGAAAAGGCACTTTAACGTGTTTAATTAAGACGCTACTACATATTATGGTCCATAAAGTCAAAACGTTTCGGCAAGATTTGTTTGGAAGTACTCTGATAAATGAGTATCTTATCCCATCCCTGCATGTTTGCACAACGTTTTAGGGGACACAGGGTTGAGGATATGATGCTAAATGACAAGAAATCTTTACGGTCACTGGGAAACAAGTGATGGAATAAAACCTTGCTACTAAAAAAGTACAATTAACCTGAAATTTCTCAATGAAAAATTATTCTCATGCAATTTTATCGTAAATTAATTTTCAATCAAAATTAGTTTATTGTTTTCAGGTTGATGGATGATGTGCAGATTGATTGATCAAGCGCAGATGGGAATCAAAGCATGGAAAAACAAGCCTCAGCTACGTTATAGAGGAAGGAAGTTGTGATGTAGGCCAAGGCCAACATTGGATGTAGCGTCAGAAGGATATATGGAATGCTATCGTCATTAAAGTTATATTCTATTATTTTCAGTAAAATTTGCGTTTGCAATCTGTGTTATTTTGTAAGATTTTTAACTTTAAAAATCATGAAAAAAACGCAAGTTAATTATTTTAAAATCATTATATAAATACATTTTCTTAAAATACCGTAGAACGATGATGCTTATTTTAACCATTGACATTTTTTCGGAAACTATTAAGTTTTTATGTTGTGTTGTAGTAGAATCCTATTAAATGAATATAATGTGCCCTCTAATGAATTATAAAGTATATACTTACTCTTCGTCCGTTGAAATTTTGCAATGCTTGCTCCATTCACATTCACAGACACTAGCATCGTACCCCTCTAAGAGTTTTCTTATATCCTTTATACGCTCTGTCTTATGTTTCGTCCAGTTTAGTTGATCAAGTTTTTGAATAATGTCATGAAGAAATGAACTATAACAAATAAGATAAGATATTATTCTTTTATTTATCTAAACAAATGGAAATGTTTTTTTTATTGCTTTGTACAATTTCAGAACATGAATAAAACGATTTGAACACAAGACATCTGCATTTCATTATTGCACTAGGGAAAAAAAAAACAGCCATTCCGTGAACTCTCGTAGTCATAACAGCATTGATTTTATCTCATTTAGCTTTTAATCATATACCTTAAAGAAGAAATATCATTGAAAATAGTATTATCTACAAACATAGAAATGATTCAATACAAGCCTGAGAGAAAGTTAACCGTAACAAACTGTAAAGAAACCTTAACGGTCGTCTGTTTCATAGAATAATATTAAAAGTGGATATTTTAATCATATTGTGTTTGATCCAATAAAAATGTTATAATATTAAAAAACGCCAACAAATGGGATTTTTGTGTGTTTGTTTTGTAAAGGGGTGAGTTATAATTTGTTTTTAATCATATTTTAATTCATGGAGAGCAAGTAAAGCTTTTTTTTTTTTACAGACATAGATCAAAATACGAATAAATAATCTTCCCACATCATTTATCTCCGATGCATACTGTTCCCCACACAAAAATCAATGTTATAAAACATATGCCTCCATCCAAGTCTTTTTCCCTCAGAGGGGATCTTAAACATCGACATCATTACCAACAACATATAGCGTTAATTTTTATTTTTTTATTTACACAGTTAAGTGTAAAAGTTTAGTTAAGCGTCAAAGTTAAATATATTTTCTATGAATACAGAAATAAACATACATAATCTTTGAGCCTCTAAACGCTTGTTATATTTTGGCACTCTGGGAGCTTCAATATGTCTCTTTCTACTTTATATTTTTTTTGGCAATTTCAGTGGGTTTTTGCACCACTTACAAAGAAACATTTTAAATAAAACCGATGCAATATACATAAAAACAACTGAGCTACGTACAAATCAAAAATATGTTTTCTCCACATAACTAAATAATTTTTAAAATTTAATACAATGTTTAACTTTAATTGAAATATATATATATATCTACTTTATCATCAGTGGCGCTATAGCCCAAGTTGGGCTCTGGCCTGCTCTATTGCATCCTTCCATTCGGAACAATCAATGGCTATCCGCCTCCATGCGCCTACCCAAACTGGTGTATGTCCTACTCCACACCTTCGATCCATCCGAGTC